TCCAATTTTCACTAGCAAAAACAAAGGTTTATCTATAGGGGGGAAATTCTTGTTTGTTTGCCAGAGATGAGAAGAGAGGAAGAAGGGAGAAAAAAATCAATGACCAGATACCCAGCTCAACAACTCACTACCATTGATTTGGAACCGGAAGGTTTTCAGAGGCTGTAAATCACATGGCAGGAGCTTGCCTGCTTTCCGTCTCAGAGCAGCTGGTGGATTTGAACTTTGGGTTGTCAGTGAAACTCCTTTACCACTAGACCATCAGAGTTCTCTGAATAGATATTGTTGTTGTTGTTGTGTGTACCACCAAGTCGGAATCGACCCATAGTTGACCCTCCAATGGGCTTTTAGGCAGTAGCTCCAGTGGTCTAGTGGTAAGAAGTTGCACTGCAATCCTGAACGCACACGATTTGAATCCACCAGCTGCACCATGGGGGAAGGATGGTTAATCTCCTCCCGTGTGATTAACTGCCTCTACAAACCCACTGGGGGGTCAGCTAAGGGTCAATTCCAACTTGACAACACACAACAAGACATCAGAGCTCCCTAAATAAATAACAGACACTAATTAAGATAGGTGCAGGGAAAGACAATGAACACTAAGGGGATGATATGACCAGCACAGTACACTAGAAATGGAAGACATGGAGAAGTTCACAAGAGACAAAGGCAACAAAGAAGACTTTTTTTAGTAAATGAAAAAGTTTTAGACTAAAAAGTGCTTTACCCATTCCTCAGTCCTCTAATTCTCCAGGGGTGATGACACTCTCCTTGGGAACAGGCCACCTGAGAGACTCCTGACAGGGGGACACAGCACAGGAGCTACACCTGGCCTCCTCTTGGGATCCCTCCATCCTGCACAGAGTGTCACGTCTCTTCACTTCAACCCAGGAGCAGGAGTAGGTCAACCAGCAACCAGTGAGCACAGTCAGCACGGCCGGCAAAGAACAAGCCATGTGGAGTCTTAATCGCACTTACTTGTTCATGTGTGTTGAGCAATATCTCATGGGTTTCACCACATCTTTGATGTTGTGGGGGCACAGGTGAAATGAAGCCTTACAGTGATTTTAGTGGGAAAGTACGACTGGACCGCACAAAGCTTGTTACTGGGTAATCCTGCTCTGCTCTGGGGTCTCTAACCCTTCTAGGAAGGTTCACCCACCCAACGCTGTCAAACTGTTCCGACTCACGGTGACCCTCGATCAGGTTTCTCAGGCTGTAGGTCTTAATGGGAGCCGACTGCCTCATATTTTTCCTGCAGGGTGGTTGGTAGATTTGAACCATCAACCCTTTGGTTAGCAGCCCAACATGTAATCCACTATGCCACCAGGGCTCCCTGAACAGCTGTGAGGTCCTCCAGGACAGGATTCCCTCTCTCCTGGCCTTTAAGACGGTGTCCTGGGGTGCACCGAAGCCACACCCCAACTCAGCCATGCCTAGTCCTCAATACACTGGAGATGTTTCAGGGAGTCCTGGGCAAACAATGCCAGGAGACAAACAAGGCATCAGAAAACACTCGAGAGGGTGTGTGTGTGTGTGTGTGTGTGGTGGGTGGGGTGGGGTGTTTGTGTGGATGGGTGGGGTGTGGAACTTGAAAGATGAGGGCAAGTAATCTCTGATTGGCACAAAGAGTTACAATTTGGACTACCTTTCAGAGGTTGGCAGTTCAAATCCACGCAGCGGCGCCTCAGAGGACAGGCCTGGCCATCTGCTTCCAAACCCTATGGGACAGTTCTATTCGGCCTATGAATCGGAATTGACTTGATAATAACCAACAGCAGTCACAGTGGGTACCAAACCCAAATCCCCCGCCCCGAGTCAGTGTTGACTCGTAGTGACCCTCATCGGTTCTGAGGCTGTAAATCTGTACATAAGGATAATGCTTATCTTCGAATGCTAACATTTCTGTTAGCACGTTACGGAAGACGCCGGTTCCTCAACAAGAAGACGTATTACAGTTGAACGTAATCTGACGCTGGATTGACACTGGAGCAGAGCGTAGGATAAGCAACGTTCCAGAGGCTGACGCACATGGACATTTGGGGAACAAAGATGGAAAGGAGCCGGCCCCACTCCCAGCAGCTCTGATTACCACCACGATTGAGGTCAGACCCTGCACTTGATTAACGACACTTTCCTTCTCAGGTCATTCCAGGGATCTGCCTGTGTCCCGAAGAAGCACTAGGAAGCCAGGAGCGGGACGGGAGGCCGATGGCCAGCAGGTCAGGAGGCCCCTGAGCAGAGGGACGCTGTGGACTCCCGAGATGAAACGGAGGCCCGGGGCCGGCCAGCAGCATAAGGGCTGAGATGAGCCCTGAGAGGGTTTGGATGCCTCAGAAGAGGTGCCCAGCTTTTTCAGAGCATTTTAAGATTCAGCGCCAGGTCATTCCTCAGCCTAATTAAGCCAGAGCTCAAAATTAGATCAGCCTTTTGCCAAAGAGTGTTTGCCTGGCTCTCATCCAGGCGTGTCCTCAACCAGCGCAGACTGAACCCACCGCCAGGAGACCTTTTCTGTCCCTGGTTGAGTTCTGATCCTTTTTGGGAGAACAGCAGTCATTTGTGACAAAAGGAATTACGTTCCTCTTGGTCTCACAAAATAGAGCCAATTAGCTGAGTGTATCCAGCCGCTCTGAAGACGATCTGTAGGAAACCTCATCGCAAGAAGATAAGGAACACACTTCATTTTTCCTTCCTTTCCTTCTTCTTTTTAAAGTTTTGCTCTCTTTCCTTCTTCCCCGCCCCACCCTGCCTGCCTCAGTCATCACCATTATTTCTATCCTAAGCTTTCTCATCACTTAAACACCATCTGGGTACCTATAAAGCAATACAACCAGTCAACTCTGAGATACCCGGCCACCCCTGAGGTGTCAGAGTAGAAAGCATGTTCTGCATGGTTTTCAGTGAACGGTCTATCTTTTGGAAGTCAATTGCCAGCTCTTTCTTCCAAAGCACTCCAGGGTCTTCGACCCCTCATTTTTCAGTTAGCAGCACCTCCCAGAGACTTCCGTTGAGCAACACCTTCCCACTAATCTGCCTTTGAGGAGCTGTGTTGACCTAGTGCATAGGAGCTGAGCTACCAACGCGAATCCACTGGCTGCTCCCAGGGAGAAAGCTGGGTACTCTCCGTCTGTGCAACTTACAGCCTCTGCAAGCCACACGCTCAGCGGGAAATCGGTCCTCACTCTATAGCACACGATAGCAATCATTGTGCACCTGTCCGTCCTAGCTAGTTCACGTAGGTGAGAGTGAGACTACATGTGATTTTGGGGTCCTTCTTCCTTCTGAACTTGGCATGACAGGGAACAACCCTGTGCTCCTCAGAATCTTGACACAAATTAGCCCAGTGGTCCCAGGTCAGCCCCCAGGAGAGAATGCCAAGGCTCCCAGCAGCACCGGCACCAGGCCAGGGAGCCCTCTGCTGACCAGGCACAGGGACTCGAGCATGCTGCCACGGTGGGGGGATCCTGGGGGCAGCACGGAGGTGGAGCTGGGAGCACTCGGTGACCTGGGAGGAGCAGGTCCACTTACAGGCATTCCTGGGCTGGCAGCACTCCAGTTCAGTTCAGAGAGACTACTTCAAAGGCACCACCATCCATCTTTAAGGCTTAGGCTGGGCTTGGGGGACTTGGGTCGCCCTCAGGCCAACATACCTCTCACTGCGCTAACTGGCTTCTGTGACAGCCACAATGTTCTAACACTTTACCCGATTAGCAGTTGCATTAAGAGCCTTGGAGCTCCCCATAGCAGAGAGCTAAAGGTCCTACCACCACCACACCAGGGGGTGCAAATCACATTTTCATACCAAGGCTGTATCTACAGCAATAGACTGCCATATCTTTCTCTTGTAGAATGGCTGGTGAATTCGAACTACTAACCTTTTGGTTACTGTCATTGCTATGTGCCCTCTGGTTGGGACTGACTAATCGCTGAATCACTGCGTCTTCAGAGGCAGGAGATGCTCATCTTTCTTCCTAGGAGCAGCTGGTGGATTCAAACCGCCTGCCTTTGGGTTGGCAGCACAACTCCTTCCAGCGAGGCCACCAGAGCCTTTTGGTCTCTAGTCCCACATCTCCTGCGTTCTGCCACCAGGGTTCCCTCGGCTGTTGAGTCAGTTTGACTCGTGTCGACCCTCCATTAGGTTTCTGTGACTAAATACATCTTTACAGGAAGAGACAGCCCATCTTTCTCCCAAAGACTGACTGGTGGATTCGAACTTCCAGTTTCTGGATTAGCTGCCCAACACCAGGGCTCCTATAAATCAAACGTTTTTCCTTAACCTCACACATTGTGTAAAAGAAACCCTCACTGGAAAGCTGCTACCCCTGCCAGGAGTGGAAGATTAACGCTGTGCTGAGAGCAGGTCTGGATGGACGCCGGCTCTCTCCATCCGGGAGGGCGGTTTGCGAGCTCAGAGAGGCCCAGTGCCCTGCCCCTCAGTGGGGAGCTTCGGAGGGCGCTGGGAAGGAACTCGCCTCCTCACCCAGGGTCAGCGTTGGCAGTGCCAGGCGGACACCACCTAAAATCCTGCTGAGGCATGTGGCAGGCCCAGGGGTCAAGTGCTTGTCTGGACTCTGGGTGGACAGTCCCTGGGGCCCCCTAGCCAGTATCTTGGGGCCTCTCAAAATGAGGATATCCTCTGCCCTGGCCACCCGCAGGTGCCCTGCCCTGGTGAAGCAGGCAGAATCCACACACTTCCCTGACTCATCGGGGTCTCAGGCCACCACCCAGTGCCCCTCCCGTGCCCCACCCTGGTGTATTTCTGCCTCCTCGATGGGAAGCACACCCTGAAATCTGAGAGGTGACACGCGGCTCCCTGGGTCCCCTGACGCGTGCGGCAGCTGCGCAGCCCTGTCCCTGGGCCCCAGGGCCGCCCACTCTGGCTCTGGCCGCTCACCCTAAACTTAGCTGCCACTCGCTCCGCACCCGCCACTGTCCCGGCCCAGCTGCCACTCGGCCCGGACAGCCGCAGCCGCTGCGTCCTGCCCAAGGACCCCCTCACCATGTCCCAGACCCAAACCCTGAAGGTCCGCGTGACCCTCTTCTTCATCCTGGTGGGCGTCGTGCTGGCCCTGGCGGCCGTGGTGACCGACCACTGGGCCGTGCTGAGCCCCCATGTGGAGCACCCCAACGGCACCTGCGAGGCGGCCCACTTTGGCCTCTGGCGGATTTGCACCAAGCGCATCGTCCTGAGCGATGACGACCTGAGCTGCAGCACCATCAGCCTGCCCGGGGGTAACGTACCCACTCCCTGTCCCGGCCCGGTCCCCCCACCCCCACCCCACCCCTGTCCCTGGAAACCAGGGCAGGTTCCTCTGGCTCGGCGTTGCATGTGGTTGTGCTGACGGCCAGAGCAGGTTGTGAAATGAGGGCATTTGTCTCTGGTTATTTCTGTCTTGCTGAGGTTTGGGGCTTTTTGGCTGCAGGATAGGACAAGAGGCTCCAGAAGAAAACCGAGGACCTACCAGTCTAGGGACTTGTGCTCCCAGCAGGGAGCACCTGGGGCCCAGGGACAGGGCTGCGCAGCTGCCGCACTCGTCAGGGGACCCAGGGAGCCGCGTCCCTGGTTCCCCTGTCCTCGTTCAAAGACAGACAGCCCCTGGACTGTGCGTCCCCAGGCTGAAGGGCAGGCAGCTTCATCCTCAGGCCTCCAGGCAGAAGTGTGTAGAGTACCCGCGACAGAAGCAACGGCGTCCTTGGGTGGTGCAAGAGGTTAATGCACTCACTGTTAACCTAAAGGTTGCAGGTTCAAGTTCACACTTAGCTCTGAAAGACCAGCCACGGAGCCCCGAGGAGCACAAAAGAAAAGGAGAAGAACAAGCATGGAGGGTTCTACTCGCCACACCTGTGAGTCCACCAGGTGGAATCAACTCCATGCACTCAGCTGCAACTGTAAGGTTAGAAGTTCAAACCCATCTACAGGTATCCATGTACTTCTAAATATCTATTGTTTTCTCAGCTACTGCAAACCCTATCAGGGACCATAGTTTTTGGGAGACATCCTGGTTAACGGGCAAAATGCAGTCCACACTCCACTGTGGGAGTAGTGACTTGGGGTCTCAGAAGCTTGTGAGAGACCACCTAAGATAGAACTGTTAGTGTTGCCTCATCGGGAGTTCAGAAAATTAGAGAAACAGAAATAATTTGTTCAAAGAACTAACAGACCACACCACACACAAGCCACAGTCTCCCCTCCCCTGAGACCTGAAGCACCAGATGGTGCCCGGTGACGTCTACTGACCACTCTGGTCTGGAACACAATAGAAGGCGAGGGACAGAGAGAGCAGAAAAGGAGAAGAAAATCTTAAATCGTGAAGAAGGTCAGCCGTACTGGGCCGAGAGACTCACGAAACCCTCAAGATTAGGGGGGACACCCTTCAAGCCTGGATCCGAACCAGCTTCTGGGGATCAACTTCCAGCTACACAACAGGCATATCAAGTGAATCACTCCGGGGCAGAATGGGCTTCCTGGTAATCAAACAGATGAGGGCAAAGGCCCAAAATAGAGCTCAGAAGGCAAGAAGGCAGGAAAGAAGGACGAACAGCAACAGGGAGTCAAGGAGGAAGAAGAAGGCGCACTGTTACGTTCACGACTCACAACCAGTATCACAAAACAAAACGTGTGTGAATTACTGAATGGAACGCTGATTTGATCTGTACGTTTTCACTGGAACTATAGAGATAAAGAAAACGCTGTGACACACAGTCCTGCTCTGCACACATGGGCCCACCACGCACGTAAGAATTCACTCCACAGAAATGGCTTTCAAAGTGTGTAGGTGGTGCAAGTGGCTAAGATGGTCAGCTGCTAACTGGAAGCTTGACAGTTCAAGTCACCTCAGGGTATTAATCTACTTCTGGAAAATCAACCATTAAAAATTCTACAGTTCTACTCTGACCTGCGTGGAGTCACTGTGAGTTGATTTGATGCCATCTGGTTACCGGATTTCCAGGTGTGGTGCAAACGGAAGTGTGATCTCTTCTTCTTTTTTTTTTAAATGTTTATTATTGTAAACAGTCTTCTAGGCCATATAGCCCTGGTGTGGCCACTTGCTGTACAGAGGTAACTTGTGTTCACTGTGAAGCTCAACACTGTGACATTGATGTGTCAAATGTGATAGCAGTTATCCATGATGGACAGTGGTGGAGCTCCCAATTCACACAAGCTTGGAAGCAGGAGTGGCATCCACTTCCATAAACAGCTTGCCTCCGGAAACCCTATGTACCTGGAGAGGATGAAAGTCACGCAAGCAAGTGTCGAGGATTTTGTTCATAGGGTCGCTCGCTATGAGTCACCTATGACTCGATGGCACTTAACAACAACAACAGCAAATGTTTATTAGAACTTTAAAACAGTAATTGTAATGTGTTAAACGAAGCACAGGGTCCTTCCTGTGAAGGGAGAGTGGGTGTCCACCTGAGAAGTCAGCACTGCCACAGCCAAGCGGCCAGCTTTCCCAGGACGCCATGTCTGCCCATGTCCCCAGCCCCGAGGCCTTCTGTGTTCAAGCTCATTTGCTCCCATCGTCCATATATGTATGTTAGCCAATCTCCTAGCATGCACCACACTCCAAAGGTGAGTTCTCTGCCCAGATCCCTGGCCTCAGGAGGACTAGTCTGGATTCTGCACACATGGGACCTTCAATGTCTGTAGCCAATAGACCGCACAGATATGGAGCACTGTTAGGATTCAGGGGGCCCTGAGTCTCAGTCCTGCACTTCCCATCCTCCACTCAATGGCCTAGTGGAAGACAAAGCCGCTCCTAGCTTCTGCTGCTGCTTCTACAAAATCCCAAATTTCCTGTCTACTCCTTGCAAGTGTTCCTCCACTGTGGAGGCAGTGGGCCATGGTGTGACAGCACGCCATCTGATTGTAGTTCTTACCTCTGACATCAGCCAACTGCCCCGTAATACCTGCCTTTGGGGGCGCATCCATACTGCATGCTCAGAGACCCCCAGGCTCACCACAGCCCAGGCTCCTGCCGCCCCAACCCTCCTGCTTGGTTCAGGAATCCCACGCTCACTCTCCTTCTTCCTGGATACCTGGAAGACTGGTACATACCCAGTTGTCTTGGAAAAACCGAGTCCCAGTGCTGAGGGCCTCAACAGGTGTGGGCATGAGCTGGAGGGTATCGAATAGCCCAGGGCCCACACCCTCAGCCATGCCGAACACACTTGTAAACAGATGCGTCATCCAGTGGCTCCCCTGGGCCAGGCTGGGCGGGACAGAGAGGTCTGTCCAGGGGCCACATGTGGTGATGTCTCATCCCAGCCTGCCCCTGACCTTGGAGACACCTGCTTTCTGAAGTCCAGTGAGTGCATAGTGCAGGAGGAGCACACAAGGGAAACACAGGAGAGGGGACTGGGCCAGCGGCAGAGGGTCAGCAGGAGTCACTCAGCCTTGGGTCCACGCAGTGTCCACGTCTCTGCCTTCTCGCCTCTGTCCGTGAGAGACAGACCCTCACAGTGGCCTCTGAGCATCACTTTTCCCCAACAAGCTTCCTAAGTGGGTTCCACAGGTTCCCACTCCCTCCTCTGCAGGGGGCATCTGTCCCTTCCTCCCTCGCCCTTCTCCTCCTCCTGGGGCCACCACCTTCTGGAGGGAGGAAGAGGACTTGGGCATGTTCTCTCGTGTGTGATGTTTAATAGCAGCAGTAGTAATAATAATAATAATAATAATAATAATTGCATGTGTAGCCGAGGAAGGGCCTCCCTAATCCTCTCCTCAGAAACAATGGGAACATTGGCACGAATGATCACTCAAGGTTTTCAAAACTCTGGAAACAGACCCAAAGTCCTGCAGTATTTGATTCGAGACAAATATGGCCGATCTCAGGAAGAACACTGCCCTTTGCAGTATTTTGTCTCAAGAAGTTGCATTGCCGACCCACAGGCAGGAGGTTCAAATCCACCAGCTGCTCTGTGGGAGAAATCTGGGCGGTCTCCCGTGCAGTTTACAGCCTCTGAAACCCACTGGAGGGTCAGGTGTGGGACTGCTGCAACTTGATGGCAGTGATTTGGACCATGTTCATCTTACACCCTAAAAACAAACAAAAGCCAAGCAACCCGTCGCTGTGGACTCCAGTCCCACCCACAGTGACCCCATGTGTCAGCGTAGAACTGTGCTCCAGAGAGATTTCAATGGCTGGTGTTTCATAAGTTGATCACCAGGCCTTTCTTCTGAGGTGCCTTGGGGTGCACTTGAACCTGTAACCTTTAGGTTCGCAGCCCCACCCCAGAGCTCTTCACCCCTCCCCATCGGTGCTGGAAGCCAACAGCCCCATGACTGGGGGTTGCAGAGCAGGCTGGGGCTCTTGGTAAGTTTCAAAGAGTCACTGTCTGATTGTCCGGCGGTGCCTAGAAGACCCCCATTTCTGCATACTGGCTGCAGCTGACTCAACTCTGAGCTCACCCAGAGTGAGCAGTGTTTCCTCAAGGGCATTTGTCACAAGCAATCAGAGGCAATTGTTTAACATCCCGCTGCCTGAGGCAGTAGAAGACAATTGGGGCAAACACTGGTCTAAGCAACGAGCAGGACTGGAAAGCTGGAGAATGGGGCTCCCCTAGAGGACTCTGAAAAGGGCAGTCCAGGCATGCCTCGTCTCACTGAGCTCCCTTTATTTGCTTCCAAGATACTGAGTTGATTTGGTTTGGTTTTTAATAAGCTGAAGGTTTGTGGCAAGGCTGCATCGTCTCGTAGGCACCATTTTTCCAACAGCACGCATCTGTGTCACATTTGGTAACTCTTCACAGTATTTTAGACTTTTTCCAAATGCTATTTTTTGATCGGAACCGGGGAATACTGCATGATTCATGGTTTAAAATCAGGGTTATCTGAGTTGTATTCTTTCATACCAGCCTTATTTGATCTGTGAGCCGAGCAAATAATCCAAGAAACTGGACTATATGAAGAAGAATAGGGCATCAGGAAGACGTGCTAACAACCTACGATGTACAAATGGCATCACCTTGCTTGCTGAAAGCAAAGAGGATTTGTCCTCACTGAAGGAGCTCAAAGACCCCCAGCTTTCAGTATGGCGTACACCTTGGCATCAAAGATACTTAGAACTGGGCCAATAAGCAACATTATGATAAAAAGAGAAAAAACTAAAGTTGTCAAGGATTCCATTTTACTTCCATGTCCACAGTCAGTGCACATTGAAGCAATAGCTAAGAAATCTAATGACATATTGCACTGGGCAAGTAATCTGCTAAGGGCCTCCAAGGTTGAAGGA